AAAAAAAAAAAAAAGAGTAGTTTCTAAAGAAGTATCCGTAAAATTTGTAAGACTATAGTTAGGCAGGTCTAACTATTAGTCAACGATTTTCAACACAGTCGTATATTTTCAATCATAAATGTCATGTCATATTCTAAAAACAATATAACATTTGGAGTATAAGTATACATTTTTATTTAATGCTATGTTGTGTTTGTGTATGACTTTTGGCTGTACATTAGAATTTGAGACTTCAAAAAGTTTGGTCTGATTTGTGGGCAAATGTGATGAGAAGTTTGGTCAGAAAACAGTGGATAAATAGTGTCAAAAGACCAAAAATTTGTGTATGCTTTAATTATATTTTATTATTCTATTATGTTCAGTTGTTAATTGATAAATTAAGATTAGAGTCAGGGCCGTCTCTAGAAATTCGGAGGCCCAATGCAAGTTTTTTCTTTTCAAATTTTCTTGATTTGAACTTACGTGGTAATTAGGGCTATTCGCAGAGAGAATCATAAATTTTAACGAGACTATTAAATAAATAAATAAATAATTAATTGAAAAAAAAAATATTTTTCTTGTTTTTCTTGAACTTGGAATTGATAAATTACCTCCGAGCTACAAAGATCTTTAATAAATTACAATCAACCAATCACGAAGACAACAAAGAGAAGAAAATAAAAATGGTATCACTACAAAGAATATTTATTTTCACACAACTTGTTCTGACTGAACATCATACGAAAACAAATGAAATATTTAGTACCTCAATTTTTCACACAAACTCTATATTTTTCCATTAGCTCATTCATTTGTGTAATGACTCAAGTCCATATTTAGCCATTAGCACTTTCATTTGTGTAAATATTATGTAAATAGACAAAATCCATCACAAATACATAATATTAGAAAAATAATGAGGCCTTATTTGTATTGATAGATAAAATTCAACACAAATACATAATATTAAAAAAAAATAATGAGGCCCCAAATAAAATAGAGGCCCTAGGCCCATGCCTAGGTTGCCTCCCCCCTGGAGCCGCCCCTGATTAGAGTCAATAGGACATTCAAAATTTAGACGGAGTAAATAAGGCATAATTTTAAAATTGGTCCTATAATTTGGCCACTTTCCAAAAAACCACCCCGCCATTAGCCACTTTCATTCTTGATCCTATAAATTGTCCATTTAATCAAATTTGGTCATTTTCTAATGAAATTTGGTCCTATAATTTGACATTTTGGTCCTTTTGTAATCTCATTTTAATCCATATTCTGGATAAAAATGACCAAATTTGATTAAAATGTTAAATTATAGGACCAAGTTTGAAAGTGGCCAATGGCGGGGTGGTTTTTTGGAAAGTGGTCAAATCATAGGACCAATTTTGAAATTATGCCGAGTAAATAACTATTCAGACTAGCATTGTAAATATCATTTCATATATTTATTTAAAAAAAATATATATATAAAAATACGACATTCAAAATAGGTTCATGAATATACATTCATAAATAAGTTATAAATCAATCAATAATACGAATTTATAAACAGTAAATATATATTTACACTTGAATTAAAAATTCCGCAAATATACGCGTAAATAAGCGATGGCATAAAAAATCTGGTCTAGGCCTATTGGCCCAATAACATTACAAAATTCGCTCTGGATTGAATTTACTAAGCTAAGCCCATTGGCCCAATAAAACATAAACAAATCCACTAGTCTAAGATCAAAACACAAGTTGGAACTTAAAAACACATGATTATTTGATCAAAATAAATTTTCAAAGCACCTAACATATTTAGGTGAAAAATCATCTCACAAGTCACACCATCCTTATTGATGTTAATTAATTAGTTTATAGAAAAAAAAAAATGAAAAAAAAAAGTCAACAAGATCACAAGGACAAAACCGTAATTTCAAACCCAATGAATCTAATAGAATTGACTTACCATCAAACAAATCAAGAGAAAATTAATGGCCTCTTATAGTCTTCCATTTTATCAATCTCCCCACATAAAAGTAAAAGCACAAAACTCCAAAAAAAGAATTAAAAGGGAAAAAGAAGAAAAAAAAAAAAGATGGAGCAGAACAAAAGCGCGTTGCTGATCGGGATTTTAGGCGCGATAATCACGCTTTCTGCTTACTCTCAGACACTTATTCCCCCCACACAGTGCATCACAGTTGGTTTTTTTGTTCTCATTTTTGGCCTTCTTGTTAGGGAAGGCTTTATATCCATTTGATTTTGCAGTGCCTCCAAAGTTTTTGTTATTGTGGATTAATGGTGTGTTGTTTTTTTTTTTTAGTTAATTTTGTTGTATTATCAGGATTTGGGATTGGGATGAATAACATTTTATTATAGGATATGCTACTAATTGAGGTTGAATTTCTGGAGTTGTAGTAAATCTATGCAAGTTTAAATTTTGAATTCAATTATATGTGATTATCACAAGTTTTTTTTTTTTTTTTT